TTAAGATTGACAGGTTCCCCCACCGTTCGGTGAATTCTTCTAGCTGTCAACTTTGTGGAAACGGACGTTAATTATTTGAAGATAATTGTGCTTCAGGTCTAGAAGGTAGGTTTCGTAGTGCTTTGTGGATTGCAGCCGTTGAAAGTTAACAAAGGGTTGGAAACGGCTTGTTTCATTTGCTCGACGTTCTTGGACGTCTTTGAACGTTACACGTGTTCAATTTACTCACTGAGGAACTCTCAATACTATACAATGTCTAAATAGGATAGGAAGGTCACAATTAGTAATCAGTGTCATTAATTTGATGGGCTAGGCTCTACTTAGTTTATTATTGAAGCGTAAGAAACAATATACAGTATATTTCTATTCTGAAAGACTGTCTGTTGACCTCTGTTAGATGGGCAGCTATTAACGAATTACGTATCAGCAAATAACTTTCCTTTTATTAAGTGCGTGCATACATTTTACAGAGCCATTTTTAAAAAATTGCACGAAGTACTGAACTTGACTAGTAAATCACTTCGTAATATAGACCTTTGTATTATGAATTTAATTAGGACTGAAGACCTTAATGTCTTGACCACTGAATCGAAGATTTTTTAAATGTACAGTTCGTATATGAGGTTAAATCTACACAAATTTTAACTTAATGGCAGTTACATGACACATATAAGTCCTCATAAAATCAGCGATTCTTTTAGTAACTGACTGCTAACCGCGATTCGTTTGTCAGACTGATATCAAGGGATCGTTTGTGCCGGTCCAATGAAGCGATTACATCTAAATAAGTGGAAGGTTAGTACTGAAGCGAACCACTTATTACTGGAGTGATGGATTTCGAAGCACTTTTGATTTGGAAATAATCTTATTTGCACCGTGTCAGAATACTAGCCACGGATTCTGTATGTGCAATTAATAAACAGTTAAAATCAAAACAGTTGCAGTCGGACCCGCAGAACATTGTGTTTTCATCGGACTCCTACTTCTACAAGTAACAATTATCTTGTCTAAGACCGGTCTGTTTATGAATATTTATATTGCTTGTATCAGCATATCCATCCACCAAACTCTTCAGTTTATTATTTGCATTGTGTCGCACAACTAACGCTGGTGGTAATCTTATAGACCGTCGTACACATGTTGTAAAACATAATTTTCGTTAGTAATATTATGTTTATGGCGAATTCTTTGTGTTTACTGGTTCATTATTTCATAACGTACTTATTAAGTTCATACATGAATTTCATACTTCTAAAAGGTAAAAACAGTCCGATTCCTGCAAAAACTTTGCATTTAGGAAGAAGTTAACAGATCCGACCACTCGACTGCACTTTGAATAATGTGTTCCTTTGTTCTCATCTCCATAATCTATGAGTTATTCTCATGTATCAAATGACATCGTTACTTTGAACTACGGACCTCGTCTTTCAGACGCTTGCTGGCAGTCTAACAAATACTAATTCAAAATCGTTTTTCCGGAACAAAGCAAACAAATATCGTTACATTTCTTATCAAGTAAATCCCTTCTATTAGTTATCCGTTAGTGCCTTTATTAAATTGCTTCCTCTGTTGGATTTGGGTTGATAAACAGCTATTCGTACCGAAATTTTACGGTCCAGTTTAATAAGCTAGGGATGGAACTATCAAAAAGGCTTGTATCTATAAAGACAAGCATCGAAAGGCGGAATGAAATTTCTAAGGTTTTAAAATCTTTTTAATTTATTGTGTCCCTTATCCTCTACAATCAATCAGAAACTTAGTTATTCAGACGTCTATCGAAGAGTCTGTTTTCAATAAATACTGTGTTTCGAATTTAATAATTCTTCATTCGTATTACCCCAGTCATGTCATCTCTTACATCTATTTCGAACAGAGATTGAGGTGCTGCGAGTGAATTTATCCAGTTTCTGACTATAGACGAAATGTCACAATGTTGTTTTGGTTCGAAGTCCATTGACATCTATCAAGCCACGTATTTTAAAAGCTGAATAATCTGTATCTACAACCTCGTCACCGCTGTAAAACTTCTAGTATATTACTAACCCTCTTACTTGTGTTGATACTGTCTTGTAAGTCAGAAGTTACGTATCGCGACCTCACAACACAAGTAAAAAGGCTTGGGTGCATTGAGATTATCGGGATTCTAACTCTTTCGTATAACTTTACTGACCCCTTCATCTCAGTTTGGATGTTCAGTTTTCAAAGTTGCATGGACGCTTCAAAAGTTTATCGGTTAGTTTATTGTGATGAATTTAGGGGGAAATTATGTACACTTCCCTCCTTATCAGTCAGTCAGCTACAACGTAGGACCAGGCACATATATGCATCGGTCCAATTTGCCATACCTCATTAGCACAACACGATGAACATCAAATTCATAGAAGTAGTTACTTCAGTGGTAGTAATATATGGAAGAAAGGTTGCATATAAGAATATAATACGAAAAGAAAGAATTAGTTCGTAGAAAGATATAATTTTAATTTCACGGTTCAAGGGAAGACAGAGATTACATACACCTATGCCATTGTCACTCAAAGTCTCCATCTATTGGTTACGATAGTCGCGCGGAACCCAACCAAGTAGTCTGCATCTACCAACATGGCTCACACCAAGAGTTGGTGACTTTATGGACTGGTGCCACATTTTGGTTTGGCTGCCCCTAACTTGTTTTCATCTGTCTCCAACACTGGCCAACATTGTGTGTCGCGGTAATACATGAGATGTGGCCCAACCATCTCAGTCGATGAAGATTCACAACCTGTGTCTAACCTCATTTTTACTTACCCGGTGGTCCCAGCAGATGCGAGCAGTATTTCCAAAACATTTGTGATCAAGTACTAGTAACTTACGAGCATTCTCTACCATTAATGACCACAGTTCCCAACCGTAAAGTAAAACAGACCGGACTGCGGTGCAGTATGCTCGTCCTTTTATTGATAGACAGATATCTCGCTTTCTCATGTAAGTTGGCAAAAGCCAAACGAGCCTTCTGAATCCGTGGAGAGATTTTGTCAGATACCAACCCATTAGGGCTGATCAGACTTTCAAGGTTAGTTGTCGGCGCATTCGACTGCTTCACTCCCTATCCTTAGTTCATGTGTTGACGCAGGCCGGTCATGAAGCAACAACTTGCTTACTGCTACCAAAAGACTGCATTTATCAGTGTCTTCAACAAATAGGACTATGTCATCTGCGTATTCTAAGTCGATAAGTGGACATCCTAGAAGACCGATTCCTGAAAATCCAGTCGATGAGAACGTGATTTCCAGCTGTAGGTCTATGATGAAATTAAACAGAAAGGCAGATAGTGGACAGTCTTGTTGGACACCACGTGTGGTCGCAAAATCAGATGACAGTTCTCGATAAGCTCTGACTCAACGGGTAGTGTTGAAGTAAAGAGCCTTCACAAGGTCTATGTATTTCTGAGGCACACTTTCAATGACAGACACTGCCACAGAACCTCTCGGCCTATAGAGTCAAATGCTGCTTTTAAGTCAGGAAAGACCACCACTGTCGGATGCCGATAACCATCCCTATATCTGTGAAAGGATATGAACTGTTTATTGAATAAACTTAACACTCCGAAATCACTTCAGTCTCATGCAAATAAGAGAAGAACGGCCAGCTTCCCTTCCTAGATATACTTCTAACATCCTTTACGTATTCAAAAGTGGCTTGTTCTCACCTCAAACCTACCCTGGTAGTATTAGCTTATTATCCAGAGTGCTGAAGTTTCAAATTGTCTTCACATCATTTCCTTATTATCCTTGTCTTCTCTTACCCTCTATTTCTTGTCTAGCTGACTTTTTATTTTTATATACTAATATTCTTAACAAGTATATGTGTGATCTGATCGTTTGAAGTGTCGCGCTAATATATCACATAGCTCTAATAATCTTTGTCTTCTTATTACACTTTCGAAATTTATCAAAGGAACTTTCTTAAAAGACTCCCTGCACATACTACTAATACTCTTTTTACCACTTGTCAATGTTTTTGTGACTACCGTTGCAGTAGTATTAGGAATTCGAATTTGTTAATACAAGCTGAACGCTTTCATGACATTCGAAAATGTCAATAAGAACACCGAGTTGGAGTAACTGATATCTGTTTCTAATTTAAGCAGTCGTTAATAGTATCTTTACAGATTGTGTACTCCAAACAGGCTCCTGCAGTGAGTTGACCTAATACAGGTATTGATATAATTTCAAATCATCGCTTAGGACATCATAGCTTTGTGTGGTAAGTCAACATGGAGTTTCTGCCGAATGTTAAAACCGCAATAAGTGAAAAAATTGTCGGCTTGCTTCAAGCTAACCACATCAGTCCTTGAGGATGGTGCCTAAGTAATATTAAGTATGAAGAGCCATACTGTAAAAGCATGGAAGTGGGTATCGGTGATAAGCATTAATTTTAAACTTATTATTAGGGAGGAGCTGCATCAAAAGTACCATAGAACTAAGAGTCAACAAATAGTTTTCTGAAGTCGCTTGAATAACATGCAAATAACTACCAAAATTTATTCTTATAAGTTCTTACCCTAACAGCATTGTTAAGTGTGTAACTTTTGCCATACTGTACCTAATAGACTCATAAATAAAATACAGCAGGAAAGTCCAGATTACTGTTAAACAACTGAGTATGAAAATTAGGGTCGCAAAGTGTTTAGTGTTTGTAAGACAGATAAAAACAAGAATAAACACAAACACTTTGACAATATATAAAAAACCAGGTAAAAGGCTATCAGTATGAAATGAACATCAAGAGATTATGAGATTATCCGACTTTTAATGTTTTGGTTTAATTCCTGCCTACACGATAAAACAAAACTAATTATGTTCTCTAATGGATGGTCATGAGCCTCTTGCCACTATTTCTGTAAAAATATACTACTAAAACATAAGGAGTGTTGTATTTTAATAAAAGTCAATACGTTGCTACACTTTAACCCTATATTGAAAAAAAGCAAATATTTGTCTCAAAATAAAGTAGAAATGCATTTAGTTTTCAACACTTTTCAATGTATTGTTCTCTTGATTCAGAATAGACCTCAGTGCTTCAATGGAATACTCGGGACCTTCGGATTGTAGTCCTGTGACAGGATCAATCAGATTACCAACCGGGAACTCGACTTTCTTTAGTTTGTACATGGTATTGAATGCCATTGGTGGGTCAGCCTTTTCAATAAGCACGATATCTCCAATGTTGACCGAAGAGCCTTGTGTATGAACCCAGTATGTTGCTGTTTGATAAAAATACTGTAGGTCGCATTTATAAATCGATAACATGACGATAGCAAATTACCTTCATCAGGAAACGATTCAAGCAGAGCTTGTGCAAGCGGACTTTAACAATATTTGGGAATGATGATGTTAAGCTTTGTGAAAACGGCACTATCTGCCCAATCGCATAATCGAAAGGTACTTTCGCTTTTTTCCCCGTTATACTAGCATGCTGAGGGGAAGTACCTCCAAGCTCAGGCTTGTGATAAGGAAAATATTTTTGGATATGCGGTTCTATGTTTTTGAGTATTTTCGCACCACGATGCTTCCAATATCGGACCATACTTGATCTGTACCGCATAGAAATAAAAAAACAATTATATCAACATTTTGTAACTGATCATTCACTGAAAAGAGTACAAGCTATCTAGACTATAAAAGAAACTTGTGCTCAGGTAAATAATACTATGCGCTCAGATGAAAATAATCCTCAAGGACCCATTAGCATTTTGAATTTCCATCAAAAAAATTTTATGTCAATATTAGTATCTGATGCGGTTAACCGCTCCAGATACAGTTACAGTTTGGGAAGGACAGGAGGCTCGGTGGCCTATGTTAGTCCTGGCACTGATGGTCTCTCAGTTGATCCAACTTTCTTTTGAAAGAGTCGACGGATGGAGCCTCAACCACGTGCTGAGGTAGTGAATTCCATTCGTTGATGATTCGATGGGAAAGTCGATATTCAGCTGACAAGTAATTTGTTCTCGGCTTATGAACTTTGTTGGAGTGTCCTCGTAAATTCTCTGTTTCGGAAGACAAGAAAAATGAATTCATATGAAGGAAACTAGACGTACTTGCAAGTACGTCCCAAGTCTGTGGAAATCTGGGGCGTTTGTGCCATTTCCCCAAAGTTTATTATGGAGGCTTCCCCAAAATGGGTCAAATTTTCCCCAAAATTGGGAGCTCGGGTGGACACCCTTTCATTTACACCAGGAAATTCATGGTAAGTTAGATTCAGATTCATGGTAAGTTAGATAGGCAGTTTTGTTTTCAACAAAAAGTTAATTGACAGCATCCCTACTGGTAGGACTACATGTACTGCAAGACTACGACATTCAGCTAGTGCACAGATAGCAAACAAACAACACCACCAGTCAGTTACCTCCGGACTCAAAAGACGGTATTTTTATCAAGGTGACTGTGTTTAGAGTGCCAGTGGTAGATTAAAAAAATAGTTGAAAAATTGAGTGAATATACAGAACACGAGCAAGTAAATTATCATTTAAGCGGCCAATTAATTGATAGTTGGAATTACAGTGAGCCATTTAGTACAACTTTAAATAAATGACAACGGGTCGTTGTTAACAAATTTTCAGTCACTGCGTGTGCTATATAGCATTTGTTACAGCTTCCAGAATAAACACTTAGATTTTGATTATTCTCTGGAATATGGCAAATTCGCCCTCGACATAAATGTTTAAAAGGTCGTGGTTCAAATGGTTGTGGACGGAATAGAAGAAGCTTTCTCTTAACAGGCTTCCGTGTCTAGTAGCAGGGGATCACCAAATCCTCCAGGCAGAAACCTAGGTATGTTAACAATAAAAGAGGAAAAGAAATTGGTAAATCATAGTGTGATGCTGTCTTTGGTCCTCAAGAATAGGTCAAGTTGCCTCTTGAAGGACTCCTGAGAAGTCGCTTGGACTAGCCCGGCCGGCAGCGAATTCCAGCTTTTGACAACTCTTAAGGAGTAGAAGTTATGTCTACATTCCGTTTTGCTATGTTGTGTCTCCAGTTTCTGCGTGTTACCCCTTAGGTTATTATTCGAACTAAGCTTAAGTAGGTGTTTAAGAGGATGTCCAGAAGTGTTAAGGATGCTATAAGCCATCAGAAGATCACCTCTAAGACTCCTATACTCTAATGGGTAAGTGTCTAGTGAATGGAGGCGCTCTCCGTAAGGTTTAGATTTGAGTCCTCGAACTGATTTCGTGGCTCGCCGTTGGATACGCTCCAAAGTGACCTTGTCCTTTTGGAGTGAGGGGGGAGTACTATGTTTCCGTACTCTAAATGGGGACGGATGAAACTATTGAAGATTGTGTGGAAAGTTCGTCCGTCAAATTGTCCAAAAATGCGCCTCACCATTACCAGTGCAAGGTTTGCTCGGAAGGCATTTTTGTCACAGTAAACGTAAGACTTTAAATCATGGGGCACCAGGACTCCTAAATCTTTTTCGACTTGGGATACTACTGGAGAGGAGTTTCCTAAGTTGTAGCTGTAGTTTGCGACATGTCACAGATGGACTACTTTACACTTTGAAGTGTTAAAGATAAGTCCGTTATCGTCTGCCCAACTTTGAAGTCGAGTCAGATCCTCCTGAAGTGCCTGTATATCGTGTTGGTTGCGTATCTCTCTCCAAAGTTTCACGTCGTCGGCAAAAAGTAATACGTCTGACGTTACCTGTTGAGGAAGATCGTTTATGTAGATCAAGAAGAGAAGAGGCCCTAGTACTGAGCCCTGGGAGACCCCACTAGGACATTCCATAGCCTGAGATAAAGTGAAATTAACCCTAACCTTAAAGTGTCGATTTTTTAGGTATGAAGTAAGCCAATCGATTAGAGGTAGTTTGATACCTAGTCGTTTGAGCTTATTGATAAGACACAAGTGGTTAACCTTATCAAAAGCTTTTGAGAAATCAAGGTAAATGATCTCAACCTTTCCCTTGCGATCGAGGATGCTTGTCCATCTGTCCACCGCAGTCAGCAGGTTGGTTATACAAGAGTAAACCTTCTTGAAACCATGCTGTTGGGGTGAGAAGAAATTTAAGGACAGTAGATAGTCGTTTAAACCGTCGCATATCAGGGACTCCATGAGTTCTGAAGGTAATGACAGAAGAGCCACCGGCCGATAACTTGAAGGTTCATTGCGTCGACCTCCTTTGAAAATTGGTGTGATGTGAGCCAACTTCCAATTTTTCGGTAATTTGCCTCGGCTTAGCGAGTGTGAGAACATCACGCTAAGCGGCGTTACCAGGATTGGAGTTGCTTCCATCAGTATGGTAGAATGAACCATATCCGGGCCAGGAGAAGTATCTAGTCTTAAGTGCTGCAATTTCCGGAACACCAAGTCAGCGCTTAGGTCCACTTCGGAAAGTCCTGTGAAATTGCAGGGGAAACTGCCGTCAGTAAAGTTGATGTCGACCGGTTGAAATGTCTGAGAGTAATGTGCCGCCAGAAGGTTAGCGGCATCGACATCGTTGTTGGTCGGGCCGTTAAGGCCTAGCAGTTGAGAAACTCTTGTTTTGGCTTGACGAAGAGAGGCTGCATAACGGAATAGGCTTCTAGGGTTAGAAGCGAATTTGTCCATAAGCTTTGTCTGGTACTGAAGCCTGTCTTCTCTTATAGCCTTCGTGCATATGTTCCTTATATGTTTATATTGCCTATACGCTCCGTCGTTATCAGTTCGTTTGTATTCCGCCCTACGGTGCCTTTTGCGGCTTAGCAGGCGAAGGATACGGTTCTTGATTACTGTAGGTGGCTTACAGCTTTTGGGAACCGTTTGAGGAACTGAATGGTTTGTAGCACATAAGAGCGTGCAGTAAGAACTCCCAATGACCGTCCACATCTAGTTGATGGTGAACATCCCAAACCACCTGTTGTAGATAGTCATGTAGAGCTGGCACATTCAGCCGCTTAAAGTTCCAACGCGAATTATTGGTGGGATACCTTAGCTTAGTTTTGCTGACAAAATTTATGGACGAACCAACCAGATATAAAATAAGGAGTACTAAATTTTGGTGCGAAATTCATTCATACATTTGGCTAAATAGCGTTCCGGCATTATGGCTGATGTCAGTTCGTGATGAAAACCCTAAACACAATTTTTAGCCCAATCATCAACTGTAAATCATAATTTTAACTGGGTTCTAACCCTCATTTAGTATTAATCAGTGGTTGCCCATTCTCACGATCACCTCAGCATCTCTGAAAACCAACCATAAATTGTAGTCTCACCACACGTGTTGTCGTCGCCTATTTGGAACCCGGAGAGATCGAAAACAACAGAATATAGATCAGGATCAGTGAATACATGAAGAGAGAGAACACTGTGCCAGAAACAACGTATATATTTCAGCTCTATTTAAAAAGGACAATAGTATTGTTTCTCGTTGAGTTAGTTAACCGTTTTGACCGTAAATGACGCATCAAAACTACTGTTTACTCTTTAATTGCATCTACCCCAGTTAAAGTGATATTGTATTGAAGGTTTCGATTTTGCTTTTGTGTATCTATTTCATCGAAGCATACCTGGTCGACTTTTACTTGATTTATTTAGTTAAGGTTTGAGAATCCTTTTACATATCCTGTTTTTGTCACCGTTCTAGTTGATTTTCAAGATGGCTAGATCTGCTCATAAATGTGGCCAACCATACTGCTTATTTTCCGTGGAGGAAGGGATGCAATGTGATGAGTGTAATAAGTGGTTTCATAAGATGTACACCCGATTAAGCCCCACTGCATATAAAAGTGCTCAAAGCCCAACTCCCATTGGCTTCGCAGTTTTTGTTGCTCGAGCAAAACATTACTCATCCGGGAAGCAGTTAGCCTCCTGATGTCGGCTAATAAGAAGGTCGATGAGGGCCGTACTGGTAAAATTGGTACTGATGGAGAAGATTGCGTTAGTGTCGTAAGTACTGTCACAGCGCAAGCCAGACATCTACTTGTTCAACCCGCAGTTAAACGTTCTCCCCCGAAACGATTAGTGAGTGACAACTCACTAGACGTTGGTGGCCATATTGCTACAGCTGCGACTGGTTATCCAGATAAGGCGATTACTGTCCCGAGTTGTTCTAATGTAGACGTTTCGATTGATAGAAAATGGCTGACGCGAAAACGCAGAAGAGTAGGAAAGACAGCTAAAACTAGTGACCGTTTACTTGCTAAGTCCTTAGTGGACTCTCAGACCAATCCGCCAAAGTCCCATAGTAAAGCTTCGTCTAACATTGTTGTGAGTCACTCGCTCGACTCCCAGGACCCTGTTGCAATAAAAGCTAATCGTAAGATACCAGTAGTTGAAATACAGGATCTAACGTCACGGTCGAAAGCTGTGAACACAGTTTCAAAAGAAGCTAAACCCCTCCCTAGTTTAATTATTTGGCATCTAGAGGAGTCGAAAGAGAACGACTCTGCTAGAAGACATGCACATGACCTGCAGTTAGTGGAGTCTGTGGTAGGGAATGTACTACCTGAAGAGGTTTTAGGGGTACATAATACAAAAGTAATACGATTTGGCAAATGGGTTGGAGGCGAGACCCAACCAAGAAGAATCCCGAAGCTGGTTCTCGGAAGTTTTGAAGAAAGAGACATATTATTGGAAAACGCATTAAAAACTCGTGACTCAAATTCCCGTATTCGACCAGATTGGCCGCTTGAGGATCGAATCAAGTGGAGGAATGCTCTTATGGAGTTGAGGACTCGCAAATTAAATGGCGAAAATAACCTTATCATTAAGGGTTTTCGGGTAGTCAGGTCTTGGAAGCTAATGCTTCTGAGGCCTGTATGAGTAGAACGATTGATTGCCAAAACACCTTAAGTGTGTGCTACACGAACGCTCGTAGTCTTAGAAATAAAACATCCGAGCTAAGTCTGATGGTGGAAGAATTATATCCCGATATAATCGTTGTTACAGAAACTTGGTTCACCGTAGATACAGACTGTTCTCCCATCATTGCAGGCTATATCTATATTAGAAGTGATAGAGTTTCAAGTTGCAAAGGGGGAGGTATAATGTTACACGTAGAGAATCACTTTCGCATACAATCAACCATATCGGAGGCTCATATCAGTGGCACATGTGAGGATGCATGTTGTAAGATTAAATCTAGAAATGGGTTAGTGACTGTAGGGGGAATATACCGTAGTCCGTTTTGTCTTGCTGACGACTTTATCCTAAGACACATCTGTTCTTGGAGTATGGCAGAATGTTGTCTCACCATTGGGGACTTCAACGCACCGCATGTCAACTGGATAGAGCTTACAGCTCCAGGTAATGGTTTCGATAGCGACCTTTTATCTGCCGTTATTCCGTGCACAATCTACAATGTATCACGAAACCGACACATATTGATTTCAATCATGATCCGTCACTTCTGTACCTCTCCCTCACCCACCACTC